GGTATTAAACAGTAAGAGGAACTTTTTCAAGTAATAAGACCCTTCAACTTGAAGTCCGATTTTTTTTTAAAAAGTTTCAAAGTTACGACGAATCGACAAAAATTTTTTCAGTCTTCAAAATTCAATTGCCAAGAAAACAGTCAGAAAAAATCTGAAGACCACCACGAACTGAATTTTTTGAACTGTAACAAACAATGAAACCCTCCGAAAAGTCACCAGAGCTCCTCACAACGAACATCAAGCGTCCTACAAAACCACAGCACCTTCCAATGAAAGTGAAGAGTGAAAGCACTGCCTCTATGTTCGATGAGTTGAAAGCAAAAAAACGAGAGAAAGCCCGACAACGTCGTAAGACTTTAGCACTGAATAATTCCCGTATCTCCTTTGATGGCTCTTCATCGGTTAAAAAAGAAAAGAGCCCTGAGGAAGTGATAGCAGACTATTCGAAGGAAATTGATGCCCTTCAAAATGAAATTAAAGTTGCTCGTGAACGGTGCAGTGCTATCGTTGACTCGCAGCAAAACTGGAAAACGTTCTTAGAAGGTTTTGAAGCCCACCGGAACCAAATGTTGCATTTAAAAGAGAACTTAGACAGTGTCATTACCAGAGACATTGGGTCCAGAGCTGACGTAGAGGAAAGTTCTGAGTTCATGGGGGACGTTTACTTGAAGTCTTTTGATAACTTTGCGGAGCAAATGCGCACGACTAAGGTGTTATTTGAGTCTCTCAAAAACTACATAGAGAAGACGCAGAACTATCAAAAGGTGCGCAGTGAGTTTGACAAATTGATAGTAGCCTTCACCACTGCTGATGGGAAGTTACAAAAGATGAACAAAGAGAAGCGCCCTGATATTAATAAAGTGGGACAATTCCAGCAACAAAAAGAGGAAGCCTTCACTGCTTTAGAGAGTGAAGGAGAGAAAGCTGTAGATGCATATGTAGAGATGTACAACCTCTTTTTAACCAGTTTATTACACAGCTCTGTGGACATTTCTGATAAGGTACAGCGTGAAGTGGACAATTGGAAGAAGATGGTGAAAGACAAAGGTGAGAAGTTGAATGTCTGGAAGACACTGAACATTGGAGAGACTGTCAAAAACACGTCAGACGAGTTTCCAAAGTGGATGGAAGAGTTTCCGATATTCATTCATATATCAGAGGAAGAGAATCATATGACTAAATCAATGGAACAATGCGTGGTCAAATATGCCAAGTCACTCTTATGTAGTCCTACATTAGCAACTTCAGGATTGAGCATGGCTGACATCAATTTGATATTCTCTGATATAGAATCACTTCACATGCTTCATGGTGAAATAGTGAATGACATATTAATCTCAAAGCCAGAGACATTCATCGACATCTTCTACACTCGAATAGGGAAGATCTATGAAGTCTATAAACGACGATGTAGACGCTTCAAAGACACTATGAAGAAGCTTAACGAGTGCCTTAAAATCACTCAATTTAAAGAAACTGTAGAGTCCATTAATAATCAAAACGCAGACCAACCAAAGCTCATAGAATTGTTAACTCTGCCTTTCACCAATTTGAACAATTTGCACCCATTTTTCACGATCTTGAAAAACGACTTACCTGAGG